CTGGTTTCACTCCTTCTGAACCTAATTTATTCTGCTGGCTAGAGACCTAGTCTCTTATTTTAGACATTGAAACATACTAGTCTCTCCAACTGGAAAGTACTCAAAAGTGTTCACTAATTTTCCAAACTGTCCCAAGTGAGTTTATGCCAGCCAAACATGAACAGCACCTTAAGAGACCAAAATTCTTGTTCATGTAGTAAGCAGGAGTCCCAGAAGGTGGCTCCTAATCTCCTTTAGCTACTGCATTCCCCATTTTAAAATGACAGTCAAAACAAAATTTTTCTTGCAAGAACGAAAACAAATACACAATAAAACTCAAAGAGCTATTAACACAAGGGAACAGAGCTAGTATTCAAGAGGTTTTTTTACCTTTCATGATTCCCAAGAATTCGTGGAGGCAGAGAACCCAAAGTGGGTCAGTGGTGCTATGCCCATGTCCAAACGATGCCTCAGCGATCATGAAAGATAATGCACCTTCAAATTCCCACTTCTGACATCACAAATGCCAAAGCACAAAGTTAAGCACGAACTCTGTAAATAGAGAACAATAGAGTTTTATTGAGGAATAGAACAGTTTGAACCAGGCAGCACAAAGCGTAAGTGCGAAGTGCTCCAAATGGGTTAGGTAGAGAGGGGTTTTTATATACAGTTTAGAGAAATAAATAAATGTTTCTTCACATCAGCTTATCTATTTTATCATTCTTCTGGAGAACAATTTGTGCACTCAGTCTTTCAAAGTAGATTCACAAGAGCCCCTCCTTAGGTAACATTTTGTTTGACCACATTCTTGCTCCCTCCTTGATTGCTCAAGTGGGTAGTTAAAACTTTACACGAGTGGAAAATTCCATGCACAGCCTAAAAGCCGAAGTGGGGGTTATGAGCAAAATGGAGTTTGATTCAAATCTGTGTCAGCCATCTTAGTTATACCAAGCACCTCAGATTTTTAGCATGCTCTCACATAAATTTAATAACAAAAGAATTACTTTTAATTAATAAAAGAACAGCTAAGAAAAGTGTGGAACATCTACTAGATGGAAGATTAATGCAGACATTAACAGAAAATGTAAAACCATACAAAATGCTATATTAATTTTAAAAATTTTTTTTTAATTTTTAAATATTAGCATTGACAAAATTGTTTTGATTCTCCTGAAATCTAGATTTTTGGTTTCATGGAATTGAGGTGACCCACACAGACCATCCACCTTTAGGTGTCCTTTTGAACCTTGAAGGAACTCGTTCCCTGAAGTTACCTTCAGATCAAACAATAGCTTAGTAAACAGCTTAATGGAGACCATTTGGCCTTAGGTATTGGTTCTCTTGGAAAATTATCTATGTGCAGCCAGCTTCAACATGAGGGAACTCCAGGGTCTGACTACAGACTGTTTTAGGATGTATGGCTTGTCCTTGGTGACAGTTTCTGTAACCTCCCCTGTGCTTTGATGCTATCTCTTGATAAATTAACATAACAATGACCTCTATAACCCACTTTCACTGTCCCCTCTTCGGAAAGCCTTTCCTAATACTTTTGGTTTTGACACTGCACAATTTGAATCATATCTACTCACAGTAAATATATTCTGTTACACTAATTTTTGGTGTTTCTCTAAGCACTTAGGTTTTTGACAGTATGATTAAAACTTCTAGGTATGATAAGGGAGCAACAATAAAATGCCCCCAGGAACTTGGAAATAAAATTTATTCTGAGAGTTAAGCTATAAAAGTAATGTACAGTGAATCAAATAAGAGAAAAGTCACTATAAAAATGGCATGGGGTGGTGTTTGAATTCCTGCAACCCCACAAGGGGGAAGGAGAACCAAGATTAACAGCCCAAGGCTGATTTCTATGAGGTGGAGGTCAGACACGCCTTCTCTCTCCACCATCTCTACCAATTCTGACACCAACTGTCCCTCCCACAGCACTCTCTACTGGGTTCGATAATTCATTGCAATGGCCACACAGAACTCGCAGACCACACTCACGATTATGGGGTTTATTAGGGAAGTAACAGTTACAATTCAGGCTCAGAAACACTCAGGATACAGTTCTTCATTAGGACAGCCTCTCCACAGCTGTGCCCACAGACACGCCTCTCTCTGGCCCTAGGCTTCTGCCCAAAGGCCCTCAGCTTTCTCTCTCTGTGGGCTGTGGGCCCGGTAGTCCACCATGCCGTCTTCTGCTGCCAGGTCCCCCCTGCTGGTCTCTCCTTCCTTGGTGGTGGTGGGCTCTTCCTCTCTGCTCTGGAATTGGCTCTCTTTTAGGCAAAACTGACCAATCTCCTTGGTGGGCCACAATTACCCTATCACACAATCACTTGGGTGGGAGTTATAAGACCGTGGCTAGAAAGGAGACACACGAAAGTAATTAATTTCATCACAGTCACCTTCAAAAAACATCATCTCTTCTAGACTGTCAAGGCTTGACTATAAGCTGGTAGAGAATTTTGACCTATCTAAAGAAAGAATGTCTCAATAAGCCATGGAAGCATAGAAAATGGAGAGTCAGTGAGACCAACATGGACAGATAGAGTAGCCTTGTCAGGCTCTATGATGTTAACCAAGTTACTTAATCTCTGTGTGCCTTAGTTTCTCCATCTCTAAAATGAGATAAATGATAATATCTACTTCATAGGGTTATTGTATAAAACAAAATAGCACCTGGTACATAGGAAGGCTTACATATTATTAAAAGAGGGAATGTGGTGGTCAGGGCAGTATAAATTGTGTCACAGTTCTATTTCTTATTATCTGCCAGCATCCTGGTTTTCATACATCAGTCTCTCAGAAGGAAATCAGCATGAGTCAGCCTCTTGAGTCTAACCAACTCTGGTACACTAAGGAGATCAAGTTTCTGGAACTGCAAGACTGAAAGCCCAGTCTGGACCAAGGTTTAAATTACCAAGATAATGCCCTCCAACAGGCCTCTTGATAGTTTCTGGGCAACACTCCACTTCTGGCATACCCAATCTATTAAAACTTCTAAACAACTTGGGGGAATGGTATAAAGCTTTATGCAGAAAGAATAAAAAGGCTGGGGGAAAAAAAACCTAGAATTAATAGGTGGTTGTGTGTGTGTGATGGAATTATGGGTGATTTTTAACCTTTTCTCCATCTTTTCTATATTTTCCAAATTTTCATTATTACTTTAATGTTTAAAAAAAGTTTCTGAATGATGCTGAGGCGAAGAAAAAGAGACTGCAGTAGCTTGAAGGGGACAAGAGTACAGAAGAGGCTTTTGAGGCTACAGGCTGTGGTGAAGATGTCAGAGAATTAGGGTCAGAGCAGGGACAGCTCTTTCCTCCAAAATTTTTTTTTTCTTCAAAATGAAGTAGCTTTCCCCGGAAAAACCTTTTCTCTCCCTGGGCACCTAAGCCTTGAAGTGACTTGTTATTTGCCAGTCATGGCATTTGCGCAGCTAGTGACAGCAATGGAAACAATCTGCTTGAGAATTCTAACTGTATCACTGTTATTTAACTGTTGAACTTGAAACCCACATCTGAGTTCTTGAGGATTCCCTCCTTCATCATCATCATTATCAAATATTTAGCAGTCACCTCCTAGATGCGTGGCTCTATTCTAAGTTTGGCGGGGGTAGGGAGAATGGAGGAGAGGGAGCTTACTTGGAGAGACAAAACTTAGAGAAATAAAAAGATAAACGAAAATGCAAAATAACCGAAGCCTGGGTAAGAAGGGTAGGGAAGGCTTAGAATCACAGATTCCCTGCGTTGGAAGCCTTCAAAGGTCAATCGCTCTAATTCTTTTACCCTGTGATTCAGAGAGCAGGTGGTACTTAAACTGAGCCTTGAAACACGTGTAGGGTTTGGATAAGCAGAGGCAAGAGGCGGGGAGAAGGGCGAGTAAACGAAGGAAGCAAAGACACTGAGGCCGGAATGCCTGGCAGGCTGCGGGCCAATTCCTCTGCGGCCAGTGATCTGCGTTACCCGCAGGTTTCTTTTCCAGCCTCCCCTCGTCCTTTATTTTCAGCTGAGTCTTTGCTGTCTCAGGCTTGTGACCTACGTGCGCACAATGGAGCCTTCCGAAGCAGTTACACAATCTCTTCCATGTCCACTCCTGCCAAGCCTGCCCTCAGGCAATGCTCGCTCCGGCTCAAGTTCCCTGCCTGGGGCACTCTCTTCCTTAAAACGCACCACTGCTTCCTCCTTCCGAAATTCGCCGATTTGCCAGTTTCTAAGGAGTAAAGTACCCTCTAGATTCTTTGTTATTTGGTTTGGGTCGGTGTGAGGAGTTTAATCTGAGTGTGTAGTCAGAAGTATAAAATACAATAAAGACCCGGGAGATACAATTATTTAGACCTTGAATGCAAACGTGTCTCTCCTTTGGTTTTATAGTTGCGGTGGGTTTCTAAAATTACCCACACAGAAGAAACGAAAAAATACAGTCCCCTCCACACCCAGTGTACATAGCAAGTGTGGAAAACTGAAATAGTCACTTGAGTGTTTCGAAAATAAACCTCGGAAAGCACATCCTCTACGGTAACGCTTTATCAGCCACCGAAAGAACGGAGGTGCTGGGGGCGGGGCCTGGCGCGGCGAGGCCCCGAGGCCCAGCGCGCTGCCGCCGGGACCCGCGGCGCCGGCCCCGCCTCCCGCTCAAGTCTCTCGCAAGGTAGAGGCGGTGCTGCGGCGGGTGAGCTGTTGCCGGCTGGCGGGCGCCGGCTTTGGGCCGCTTCGGTCTCGAGGAGCTGAGCGGAGGATGCGAGAGCCACGTGCGGAGGCCGGACTGGCGTAAGGGTGGCAGAGAGGAGCGACGGGGGCGCTGCCCCTGGGCCTAGACCGTGGGTGGCTCGGGCCCGCGCTGGCGTGTGGTGGACTCAGAAGGCCACTGGAGCCAAGAGGACTACACGGGACCTTCCAGCCCGGGGCCCCGCTCTCGGGCTTCCCTCAGGGAGGGTGGAGCTGCGTTGAAGCTTTGTTCCTTAGGGACTGAGGGCCCCGGCGGCACCTGGGCTGTTTCTCTGAGGGGATTAGAAACACGGCACAATGAGGAGCCGGAGTAACTCGGGGGTCCGGCTGGACGGCTACGCTAGGCTGGTGCATCAGACCATCCTGTGCCACCAGGTAAGTGTAGAGGTGTCGCCTGTAATTACCAAGGTTGTAGAGTGTGATGGCTTGGACCGGGAGCCTAGGTGAACCCAGATCGTGTCTTCGTAGCAGGTTCTTCCGCCCCGTAGATGAGGAGGCCATAACGGGCCCTGAAGAAAAGGTAGGCGTTGGGTCAGGAACAGAACCAGAGCCAGACACTGTTAAGCCAGGAGCCCCTGAGTCGAGGCTTCTGGGCCTCCTCCCTCGCCCCCCAAGCCACAGCTAGGTTCCTGGGGGCAGAGTTGGAAGCATTGACGTCACTGGGGGGTATGGACCGCACCAGGTGACACTGTCAGAGGGGGTGACACCAAAATGACTGTCTGTAACATCTTTGTGCAGTGTTTCAGCAGAAATTTATTATTTTTTATAAAAAATATCCCTGCAGTTAGTTATAACAAAAAAAATTTTTTTTCGTAAGCCCAGTTTACATGTATTAATATACTTACAAGGCTAAAATTCTTTGCTAATATACTTTTTGATTCTTCTAATGCGCCGGATCGGAGCTGTCATTATTAGCCAATTACAGTGATGCTTTGAATCACGTGGTTTAGTCTTCAAGTGCTACAAGCCTGCCCTGTCGTTTTCGTTGCTGCTGGTGGTGTTTTTACAGTCGCTGATTTTGTCAAATTTTCTGGTGTTTTAGCTACAATATTGTGGTAATTAGCATGAAGGGTGACACCATGAGTTACTGCACTGGGTGACACCAACCCTAGTGATACCACTGGTTGGAAGATGTGTTGAAGTTTGTTTGACAGACCCCCCCCCCACCCTTGAACGTCATCTCCTTTCCCTGACCGCAGAGGAAAAAAAGAGGTAGAAGAATATTTAGCCATCTTAAGACTACACTATTGTGAAGGTCTGAGGCATCTTGCATATACTGTTAATTATAGTTTCTCTACTCCTTTACTTCTGGTTTTTGGTTGATAGTTCATTATTTCTAATGGAAAGTTGTAACACTGCCTTTCTTTTAATAATACCTACATTTCAGACTTGTAAGGCTTCAGCCAGCTCTTTGCCTTATTCAAACAGCATTTGCTTGCATTTGGTCAAAAGAGGAGGCAATAAAACTCAGGAGTGGGGAAGTAGAAGAAAGACCAAAGTCCCTAAGTAATCCATTGCATAGAATCTGGTTCCTGATATTAACACCCCATTACCACTTCCTACCCTCTTTTTCTTGACCTTGCAGAATCCAGTGACCGGCTTGCTTCCAGCCAGCTATGATCAGAAAGATGCCTGGGTCCGGGATAATGTGTACAGCATCTTGGCTGTGTGGGGTTTGGGTCTGGCCTATCGGAAGAATGCAGACCGCGATGAGGATAAGGCAAAGGCCTACGAACTGGAGCAGGTACTCAGAATAAAAATACAAAGAGATCTGGAGCTGTGGGAGGGGGTGGGGTCAGGGAAGGGATGAAGAAAATGTAGCTCACAGGAGGTAACAGAACTGTATTTTGCTGTTTTTCCTCTATTAACTTTCCTGAAATTACATTCCAAAAAAACATTCCTGTATTGTAGTGAATTTTTTTTGCAGTGGAAAGTAGAAATTTGCTGATTCAGGGGGAGAGGGCACAGTCTGTTCAGTTACAGTGGAAAATCCTATCCTGGGATCTTTCCTGAAGTTTATAATCTTCTTTCTAAGTAAATGTATTTTGCGGTCTCAGGCATATTTATTCTCATTGAGAAGAGTGTTTAAGGGCAGATATCTATCATTTTACTTCACTTTTGAGAATGATTTATGGTATTGTATGAGGTTAACTGACAAAATCAGCATACCTTCTCAACCAGACACAACTAAAGATAGTTTATTTGTTGATTTTTATATCTGTGGCCACTGTTTCAGAGCCTGTTGCTTTTTGAAGGGAGGGATGGGGGCAAAATACGGTCAGAGTCAGCAGATGCATTTAAGCCAACATTTAAAGCACTTCCACTCAGTGAAAAAGCATCCTTTATAGAACTGCTTAGATATACAGGGCGCTACATGCTTTTGAACGACCAAGAAAACAATATTCTGGGCTGCGTGAGACTTTTAATGTTGAGGTACTCTGCTGTCAGTTGTAAGATATATGTGAATTCTTTTCCATTAATGGGAAAGAGTCTGTCCACACGAGCCATTTTCTCATGAAATGCCTCTCAGACTTATGCAATTTGTGCTCCAGTCTTCATCTATAATCAGGGTATTGAGATTTGTTTATTTTCAAGGGCTCCAACATATTGCAGGGTTGCATTCTTTGGCAATAGGGAAGTTTCACTGTGTTGTCTTCTGCAACAGCAGGCATTTGTTATTCCTTCAAGCCATTATTGAGAGATACGTAGGTCCACTGAAAAAAAATTGTTATAAAGAGTTTTCTGTCTAGCCCAGGAAGTACAGATCAGTATGTTATGACTTTTAAGTAATAGAAATGATATATACCATTGTAAAAATTTGGAAAATATAGAGGGGGCATTTAAAAATTACCTGTAATCCTGCCCCACCCATTCTTCAGCCTACTGTTAATGTTTTGCTATTTTCATTTCAGTTTTTTGTTTGTTGGTTGATTTGTTTTGCTAGAAATCAGTATCAGTGGAACTGGAATTCCATCCCTGATACAGTTTGACCATTTTTTTTTTTTTTTCTTTTCAGTACTATTAGGAGAAATCTGTTTTCTATTGATCAATCATTCTGCAAAGTTGACATTTTTCCTTATACGGCCCTGGTAGAAAGAATTTAACAGAGGAGGGAGGTTGAGATAGGGAAGCATGGAATGGCCCATTCTAAAATTTTAATGTAACATTAAATAATTTTTCACGTAGCATAAAAATATCTCTCATACCACCTCAATAGTAAGTTTGAAATGTCTCAAAAACAATAATGCAATAGGAAGCATCTTTTAAAAAGAAATGTTTCAAAAAAATATTTCTGTGGAAATTCTAAAATGTCTGTGAATTTGCATTATGGATTAAAACAGATTCTATCATTCGGTCTCATTGATTTTTTTTTTTTTTTCTCAAACCTGACTCGGAATTAATCTAGACCAAGGATTGGCAAAACTGCCTCTGTAAAGGTCCAGATAGTAAATATTTTCAGCTTTGTGGGCCATGTGTTGCCTCTGCTCTAATAACTCAGCTCTGTGGTGGTTGTACAAAAGCAGCCAGAGACAAACCATAAACAAATGAGTATGGCTATGTTCCAATAAAACTGTCTTTGCAAAAACAAGTGGTGGCCTAGATTTGTCCAGTGAGTTGTAGTTACCTGACCCCTAATCTAGATGAGTCGGAATTGACTCGACAGCAGTAGGTTTTGTTTTGTTTTGTTTTTAATCTAGATGAGTGGTTCTCAACTCTGGCCATACATTGGAATAATTTGAGAAGCTTTTAAGAAATACCCTGCCCTAGACTAGTCTCTGGAAGTACAGTCTGGGAGCATCAGTATTTTTTTAAGTACCCAGGTGATTCTAATGTGCAGTCAGTGTTAATAACCACTGATATATGGCCAATAAATGAACATAGATTAAATCCACAGGATAATCTATATTTCCCTATTTCCCTCCTATATAAGAACATGTCAACTACTGTGTGGATTTTTTCCAAAACATTGTTAATCATTTCTACGCTTCCTTCCAACTCTTACCTTGGTTTCCCTTCTGTGAGAAATAGTGTCAGAAAGCTGAAGAGAGTTCTAGGTGAAAAGGCGTCAAGGGTTTAGGTGATTGTCACATACTAGATAGAGAAGAGAATTATACACATAAATGTTTTTACAAATGCCTTATCTTTTAGTCACATAAATACAGAATTATACCCATAAAAAATAAATAGGCACACACATAGAGATATCTATGTGATTACCTCCATTTTTACTTCTTCAGTTTTGTTTTCTTTATATAGTCTCTCATATTTTCTCATGACTTTAACTATTATCTTTATGAGAATGATGTCCAAATCTTCATCTTTAACCCTGGTTTCCATATGTATACTGATCATTTGCATCTGCATATCCTGTGGCTTCTCAAAGTCAATATGTCCGTAAGCCCCCTTCCCAACTAAAAACGAACGAAATAAACTACCAAGCAACAGCAACCCACCAAATATCCCTTTTTATTTATTGGTGTCCCTATTCTACTAATCACCCAGGCAACATTAATTGGCATATTTCCCATGGTGTGTTCCATGGAAAACTAGGTCAGCTAAGTTTAGGGCTGTGAGCATTTTTAATCTAATGTGGGGATGAATTTTATAGCCTTTCCAGAATTTCTTGGACTAGTGTTCTATAAAACTATGTTTGAAAACTGCTGCCTTTAGAGGGATTTTAAATTTGTCGTTCTTGCCTTCTGTATGTTCACAAGGTACCAAGGTCTGTTGACTCATATAATTTCTCTTGAATCCATCCCTTCCTTTCAGTTTCCCTCTGCCTCAACACTAGTGTAAACCCTTATCAAGTCACACTGTTGTTAAAACCACATTTATGTCATTTCTATCCTCAACAATCTTCCTATGGCTCTTATTTCCCTACAAGTAAAGTCCAGACATTTTGGTTTGATTATCAAGGCTCTCTAGAGTTTAGTCCTAACCTACTTTTTCAATTTTATATCACACTGGTACCCTCCATTATACCCCCAGTTCCAGCTAGGTTGGTGTCCTCATTACTCTTCTAACAATCTCTTAATAAAAATAACCTAACATTTATGTCCTGATATATGAATGCACATATATAATTAATGCCAACTAGTGCATCTGAATCAGAAAACAGCCATTTTGGAAGAATACAAAGTACAGGTAGTTCCTGTCATTCCTAACTCCCCATGCTTCCTGACTTGGAAGTTAGAACTTGAGTACAGAAAAGGCTGGTAATTAACTGCCATTCCAGGAGGACAAAAGTGGATGGCAATCAGGATCCTTCACTGGCTCCATGATTCCCCAGGTTTTAAAGAAAATTTAAGTGGGAGTATGAGGGCCTGGACGGTAAAGAGGGTTGATGGGTAGGCAGGAGAGAGAAGTGGTTAGGGTAGTGGAACAACAAAGAAGCCAATGAAGTGAACTCAGGGTGCTAGCTTCTAACAAAATAATGTAAAAGTTGAGTCCCATGCTGGCTGATAATAGGCCCTCAATATTCTTAAAGAGAAAAAGAGATATCCTTCGGGCCACTGATTTAAAGAAAAGACCCTGTTCAAACCCCTGCCTCTGCTTCCAAGTCTAATTCATTGAATGTTGTAAAATAAAGGATCTGATTTTAAAAAAATACTTGTGTGTGGTGATATGTAGAAGATAATTCAGAATTGAAGAAATCTTCCCATGGAGTGGGGAGTTTTAAGTGCTTTATGTAACAGGGCATATTAAAGGGATGGTCGCTTTCATTAGGGAAAATTAGAGATTTCTTGTAGGAGTTATAATCAGTTTCATTACTTTATGATAAATGCTTCATTCTTTAAAAGGCGACAAACTCATGCACTGCCTTTTCCTTCTCTTTCTTGCATTCCTTTAATCTGTAAGGGGAAGGGACCATTTATAGATAGAAATTACTTAAGAAAGGGAATTTTCCCAAGGAATCAATTTTTTTTTTTCCCTCAGTAAAAGACTTCATAAAGAGTTGGAGCATAAAAATGAAAAAGGAGCCGTGCCTCACACCATACACAAAAACAAATTTAAAACGGATTCAGGACCTAAATGTGCAAAATAAACCATAAAATTCTTAGAAGAAAAAGCAGGGGCAACGCTGTCAAGCCTAGCTTTTAACAATGGATTATGTAACATAATAACAAAAGCACAAACAGCAAAAGAAAAAATAAATAAATGCGACCCTGTAAAAACTAAAAACTTTTGTTCATCAAAAGACTGCCAAAAAAGTGAAAAGACAAGCTACCGACTGGGAGAATATCTTCAGAAAACATATATCCAACAAGAATCTAATAATCAAAATATATGTAAAACGTCAACACTTAACAACAAAAAGATAAATAGCTCAAGCATAAAATGGACAAAGGACTTGAATAGACATTTCACCAAAGAGGACACTCAAATAACCACCAAACACATGAAAAGATGCTCAGCATTCTTAGCTATCAGAGAGATGCAAATCAAAACCACAGTGAAATACCATTTTGTTCCCACTAGGATGGCTAAGGTAAAGAGTTGGAGTATAAAAATGAAATGGGCCATGCCTCACACCATACACAAAAACAAATTCAAAAGTTGTGTGATAGATATATTTACAACAGCGACAAAAACAAAACAGAAGTAACTGCTGAGGCTGCTTATGGTACAACCAAAAACCTCATGGGATTTTGTTTCTTGATTTGGATGTTTAGAGTCATGGTTATATGGGGCATCCCAGTTAATTGGCCTAATAACATGTTTAGTGCTTCCTTTCTACCTCCTAATTCATTGGGTAGTGCCTGGGGTCTTAAAAGCTTGTAAGCGGCCATCTAAGGCACAACAATTGGTCTCTTCATCTGGAGCAACAGAAGAAGAAGGAGCATCAGGAATAGAAGGAGGATATGGAATGTGTGGCTGATTGCCTCCATGAACAACTGCCTCCTTGTGGTGAGACCTAGATGGTGCCTAGCTACCATTACTAAGCATTTTGATCAAGGCTTCAAACTGGTTCATTCTGGTTTGAGCCCCTGCTGAGAATTTGCATTTCCACCTCAGATATACTGAATCAGAATATACATTTTAACGAGATCACTAGGTGATTCTTATGTATAATTAATTTTGAGAACCATTGCTCTACTAGTAGTTCTCTGAATTGATCCCTAACCAGTAGCATTAGCATCACCTGGGAACTTGTTAGAAATGTTAATTCTCAGAAGAATCCTGATCAGAAGGGGGAAAATGCAGAACAGAATTTCAATTCCCATAGTCTCCAGACTTCCTGTAGCCATGAAGGTTGGATGACCCCCTGAAACTATTGCCCTGAGATAATCTTTAAACCTTAAACCAAAAATATCCCCTGAAGTCTTCTTAAAACCAAACAATAGTTTAGCTTAACTAGTGAAAAAAAGTCTGACTTGAGCATTAAGCTTTTTTAGAACTATCTGGGATCAAATTGACAACAGCAACTTGAAATATTAGAAACTTAGGGGGCAGTGAATTTATGCCAGTGGGGAGGAACAACTCAGAAAAGGAGGGTGAGAATGGTTGTACAACTCGAAGAATGTAATCAGTGTCACTAAATGATACATGTGGAAACTGTTGAATTGGTGTATGTTTTGCTGTGTATATTCTCAACAACAACAAAATAAGTAAAATTAAAATAAAACCATTTAGAGGACAGTTGGGAAAACATGGTATTTAAGAATTTTTATTGCTATTGTGCATTGTGGTAACATTGTGATTATGTTTAAATAGGTGTGTCCTTCTCTTTAGAGGTATTTACTGAAATATGTACAAACCAAAACCAAACCTGTTGCTATCGAGTCGATTCCAACTCACAGCAATCCTATAGGACAGAGTAGAACTGCCCCATAGGGTTTCCAAGGAGTGACTGGTGGATTCAAACTGCCAACCTTTGGTTAGCAGCTGAGCTCTTAACCACTGTGACACGTCATGCCAGGGCTTCTGGAATATGTATAGATGAAATAATACAGTGATTCTAAAAGTGTGGTCCCCATACCAGGAGCATCAGTATCACCTGGGAACTTATGAGAAGGGCATATTCTTGGTCCCATCCCAGATCTACTGAATTAGACTCTGGAAGTAGAGCTCAGTAATCTGTGTTTTAACAAGCCCTCCAGATGATTTGGAGCCCTGGTGGTGCAGTGGTTAATGGCTCAGCTGCTAACCAGAATATTAGCAGTTTGAATCCACCAGCCACTCTTTGGAAACCCTATGGGGATGTTCTACTCTCCTATAGGATCACTTTGAGTTGGAATCGATTTGACAACAGTGGGTTTGGTTTTTTGGTTTTCCAGATAATTTTGATGCATGCTAAAGTTTGAGAACCACTGTAATGTCTTGAATTTGCTTCAAAATAATTAGAAGAAGGGATAATGGGTTTGTAGGAGTATAGATGAAACAAGATTGGCCATGAATTGATAATTGAACTGGGTAATGAGTGCATCAGAATTCATTGTACTGTATGCTCTACTTTTGTATGGATTTGGAAGTTTTCTATAATAAAAGTTTTTTAAAATTAAAAAAAAAGTTGGAGCATAATTTAATAGGCACTTATCCTTTTCACGACTATTGCTTGTAAGGTTCTACTTGAATGTGTTTTGAAGGAATAATAGAATGATGTGACTCCCAAGTCAATTAGTTTTCAAAGGTGTCCTGAAGCCACTTCTGAGCTAGTGTTCCCTGGAGTAACCTGGCTAGTTTTCTTCTGGGCTGTGAAACAGAAAGCTTCTAAGAGAAGGTGTTTGGCACTATGTTCTTCCAAAACGTATTGCCTAGCCATGCCATTGTTGATGGTCCTTCTAGTATTGTGTAGAAAGTAGTGATTACCAGAATTTTGGGGTGTTATGATTGGAAAACAAACTAGGCCCTAGTGAGAAAAATGGAGCCCTGGTGGCACAGTGGTTAAAAGCTTGGCTGCTAACTAAAAGGTCGGCAGTTCGAATCCACCAACCACTCCTTGGAAACCCTGTGGGGCAGTTCTACTCTGTCCTGTAGGATTGTTATGAGTCGGAATCAACTCGAAGACAACAGTTTTTGTTTTTTTTTTTTTTTTGAGACTTAAAATTTGTGACTGTTTTTTTTCCCCATGGGTGAAGGAGTTGAGTCACACAATTCCCCTTTACACTTATTCTGAAGTTCAGTTTGTTCTTTAGGTAAAATGTCTAGGTAATTATTTCTGTGGACTCTTAAAGGTAAGTCTTGGCTAGCTTAGAAAAAATAAAAGTGATATCATAGTGAAGCCTTTCTAGGCCGTAGGGTATGGTTTAGAATACTCTTACAGCCTTACGGTTTTTGAGCTGACTTGCTTTTTTTCTCTAGGAAGAATGTCCTCTATAGGATGGTTGGCTTATTTTTACATAAAACTGTTGGAGCTTGGTGTTTCTCTTTTTTAACTTGAAGGAGTCACGAACTGCAGGTTTAGATTCCACTTTTAGCTGCAATCTGCTCTTTTGTGTACCTATAAAGTAAATGCCATGTAAATAGGAACCCAGGATAGGGTTACTTGTTCTCAAAAGGTCATGTACCAACTGCAATTGCTGAGTAAGTGTTCCTGCATCTAGGGATGTTTATAACAGTCATGTTTCCATTTATTTCTGCAGAGTGTAGTGAAGCTGATGAGGGGACTGCTACACTGCATGATCAGACAGGTATGACTATTGACGGTTTCCTTTCTAATAAAAGCATACTGTAAAATAAGATCTCTACCCCTTAGAGAATGTTTGTAGCTTTTATTTTTTAAATTTCACAAATAGTACACACTAATTTTAGAAAATTTGGAAAATCAAGGGGAAAAATGTCACCCACTGGCATGTTTCTAGTCTTTTTTTTTTCTCGCTACATGATTTTTTAACATGCTTTATCATTACTGTACATGCAATTATGTGTATTGGGTGAAAGATAATACAAGTCTATAAGCCCTTATCTGAAACTCTTGGGGCCAGATTAACTTTAGAATTCAGAATTTTTAAGATTTTCAAAAGGTAGCACGGTGCATATGCCATATGTTATGCCCCCAGGGAGCCCAGGACAGTACTCTGTAATCAGAAAATTAATATCTCTGTCGGGAAATAGGCATATTCACACCAAGTGGAATAAATGTTAGTTGCCATGGAGTCAGTTTCCACTCATGGCAACCCCATGTGTGAAGAGTAGAGCTGCTCCATAGGGTTTTCAAGGTTGTGACTTGTCAGAAGCAGATCGCCAGGCCTGTCTTCCGAAAACCTTATGTTTTAATTTCTTTGTGTTTTATTTTTAACAGTAGTAACTACTGTATCTTTAAATACGGTAGGAAATTAGTGATTTTTAAACCTATTTTATAAAGTTAATGCAATCTAATATCTAAAAAAAAAAAAGGGGGAGGGGGGTTGGAAATAAATGTGAAATTGCCCGATAGCAAGAGCACTGATAAAGAAGTTCAAAAGCCTAGAATTGACTTTCTTCTACTTTAGACTTACGTGCCCATGGATGGTAACTTTATCAGTCTGGGCCTCAGTTTCTCCTAATAAAATATAATCTTGATCTCAATAAGATACAGCTCAGAATCAATGTGTGCAACATACTTTAAGATCTCCTAGAATAAAAATAAAACACTTTGGTATGAAGACAAAATATCATAAACTCAAAAAATAAATGATAGACTACTAAAAATATTTGTAACACATATGAGAAAGATTAACATCCATAATATACAAGAACTCCTCAAATAGAGACAACCCCAAAGAAAAACAGGAAATATATAACAGGCAATTCACAGAAGACGAAATGCGAGTTTGCAATCTACAAATGAAAGGATGCTCAACTTCACTCAAGGTCAGGAAAATGCAAATTGCTGCAAAGAGATACAAGTCCATGATCCTAAAATCTAAAAACACTTTGAAAGCATATAGGGAGATCCTTCTGATTCTTAAAAAAAATGACTCAATGTAGGCTAGTTATAGTGAAGCTTTTAAAGAGAAGGGGAGGGAGTAGGATAGAAAATTTGCCATTGGCTACTCTTAACATGATTGAACCATGCCCCCTACCCTTTACTGAGATCAGCTGGCATCAGGTTACTAGGTAGTCACTGGCCTGGGTGGGGGCTTCATTTGTACAAATCTTTAGGTGTAGTTTTTTTGCTTAATTAATTCAAGTTTCCATGATGACAAAGTACTTACAGGTTATTGATTTAGCATTAAAAAGTAATTCAACAAAATTTGGCCCTTTACATATTTGTAGCTATGAGACCTCTTGAAATTAAAATTATGGGTGCACATAGTCTTTTTCATTAAATCATGAGATTATGGGTTTGTTATTGACTACCCTTTTTGAGCCAGAAAAGGCAAATTGACTATGTTGCAGAGTAGTTAGCAGTTCCTGGTAAAAAACAAACAAAAAACCCAAGTTAATAGTTTTTCAGTTTTGGGTCAAGCTTTTACTGTTAATTTTGGGCTTGTGGGTAAGAAAAACCCTTTGAAATAAAACTAAGATGTCTGTTTTTAATTTTATTTTACACTACCATATATCAGATGCACAAGTAATCAAATCTAAGTTTCAGAAATTAAGTTCTTTCCTTTGCCCTTATCCAATGGTTCAGCTTTTTGTCATAGCTTTTATCTCTCTGTGTATCTCTCCCCAGTTGCTTTCATTACTCCTCCAAAGTAAACCTTCTTGATTTAATTTATCTCAAAATCCTACTTCTGTTTCAGGAACAAATGTCTGTTTTTCACACTCAGTTATTTCTTACTAAGCTTTTCTCATTCAGCCACTCTGAATCTAGTTTATGTCTAACCAACCAGTTGCCATCAAGTCGATTCTGACTCATGGTGACCCCATTTGTGTCCTAGTAGAGCTGTGCTCCACAGAGTTTTCAATGAGTTTTTGGAAGTAAATCACCAGGCCTTTCTTCCAAGGCGCCTCTGGGTAGACTCGAACCTCCCACCTTTCTATTAGCAGCCTAGCACGTTAACCGTTTACACCACCCAGGGACTTTAGTTTATCTATCTACCCTGTGGCAAAACAATCATCTGAAGAGTGAAAGAGAAGCAAAGAATAGGAAATAGGTAGTTTTGACTGGTATTATTTTCTAATTAAATTGATTAAATTAAAAAACAAAACAAAAAAAGATTTTCCCAATAGCATTAGTGTAGGAAAAAGAAGTGAGAATGCATTTTAAATATTAGCAATTGCCTAAAGAAGGAGTGCAATGGTATTTGCTAGAGTACTAAAGAAGTGTGATGCATGGGTTGATTTTTCAGCATATCATTCTTTTACTGTTACTTGTTTTTTTCAGGTGGATAAAGTAGAATCCTTCAAGTATAGTCAGAGCACCAAGGATAGCCTCCATGCCAAGTACAACACCAAGACGTGTGCCACTGTAGTGGGTGATGACCAATGGGGACACCTACAATTGGATGCTACCTCTGTGTACCTGCTCTTTTTAGCACAAATGACTGCTTCAGGTCAGTGCAAGGAGAGAAGTACCGGAAGCTCCCACAGTGTGGAGCAATTGGTCGGGCACACATGGCTTCTCCAAAGGTATTGAACAGAAGACAAGTTGACATAGCTCAGAAATGAACCTTGGAAAATATAACATTTTGTTAATTTTATAGAGTGAGAAAAAACTCTTTGAGGTCTAGTTAATATTCTTTTACATTGAGAAACAAGTCTGGGGTACTGATTAATATTCTCTTAAATTGAGAAACAGGAAGTCTGGGGTAGATTTTCTTTAGATGGGTATTTTGTCCTTTTATTAATCCTTAGATACTGTGAGATGGGAAAAGAAAGACTAGAGTTTATTGCTTGTTCTCATACTGTGCACTGACAAACCTACAGTTAGTATGAATATAAATGTAATCACCTACTTTTATACTACTCTTATATAAATATCGTATAAACAAGACATATGTCTATAGTAATCTAAATTATATTAAGCAAATCAGCTTAGGAATTAGAAATCAAATATATATTTTTTACTACTGAATAATGCAGATGGTTTTGTTATTAGTTTTAGATGCTTTACCTGAAAAAGGAAAATGTAGGAAACAACCCAGTTCCCTTTTATTTTTTCTAAATTGGGGAGACAATGAATCTTATTATACCCAGTTTGCAAATTAAATGAGACCTTTTCCAGATCTTCCTGAGTATGTAAAATGTACTTCTCATAATACTACAGTTTGATATTTCAATTTCTTTATCTTCTTATCTGGTTGCAGAGATCCTTGGTTCTAAAAGTATTCAGGGTGGGAATTACCCCAGAATGCTCTTCTCCTTTTCTTCAGAAATAAATATTCAGTGATAAAGCCTTCCTTTTTTCCCTCTAAAACACATAGACCAGAGGCTGAGTAACCTTTTCTCAAAATTAGGAACTGGTTTTCCATATACTCTCTCCTTTTAGAGGTGAATTTTTCTCCCTGAATAAATACATGTTTTAAGTTTTATTTATTTAAATAGAGTGACAGCTATAACTCCATTTCTAATGTTATTTTAATACCACTCTGGAGTCTTTTCTACAAAACAAACAGTGTCTAAATATCCTTATGATTTTTTTTTATTTTGAGCCCAGAATGGAAGCAGAAGTATATTAAAGAGACTTATAAGAGACATATTCTTTCATTCAACAAATGTTTATTGATTTCTGACTTAATGTTTGATTTTCAGCTCAGTCAACTGACTTTGATAGGTGCTTGGAATATAAAGGCAAATGAGTAGGTGTTATTTGAGCAGAACTTTGAGGAATGAGTAGAAATTCACAAGTCAGAGAAGGGAAGGGAATAGCATGAATATAGCACAGAAGTTTGAAAGTTACTGGGCTTCAAGGTAAGTGTCTTTAGTTATTTAGTGCTGCTATACCGCAAGTGTATGACTTTAACAAACAGAAATTTATTTTCTCACAGTTTAGGAGGCTAACAGTCCAAATTCAGGGCGTCAGCTCTAGGGGAAGGTTTTTTGTCTCTGTTAGCTTTGGAGGAAGGTCCTTCTCTCTTTTGAGCTTCTGCTCCTGGACAGTCTTCATGTGATTGGCATCCTGTTCGTCCCTCTCTGCTCTGCTCGTTTGTTTAATCTCTTTTATATCTCAAAAGAAATTGACTCAAGATATACCCTGACTAACCCTGCCTCATTAATGTAACAAATACACCCCATTCCCAAATGGGATTATAACCACAGGCATAGAAGTTAGGATTTAAAACACATATTTTTGGGAGACACAGTTCAACCCATAACATTAAGGCTAGGTGTCTTCTATGGTTAGAGTGTAGATGCATCTGGAGGGATGGCAAATGATGAAGCTAGAAAGTTGGAGCTAGCTTTTTAAAGCCTGTGTACCTTTTTACATTAATGTGGAATGTAAAGGAGGCTATAAGGAGTTTGGAGTTTAGTCTGCAGTCAATAGAGCCATTCAAAATAGATAATAAATGAAAGTTTAGATTCACTCCAGTAGCTGGGAGTAGATGGGAGAGAAAATTAATATGGAGGACTAGTTAGGAGGTTAGTAAAATACTTTACACAAGACATGATGCAGAATTTATGTAAGGCAGTTGCTTTGAGAATGGAAAGGATAGATGTCAGAGATAATCAGTAGGTAGAGTATGAAAGATATTCATGGAAGATTTAGCAATGTACAGAATGTACAGAAATGATTTGTACATTTCTGAGTCCTTAAAAATTTCAACCTTGTTGAAAGAGAGGCTTAGACAGAAGGTGACTGCCATTCCAGGATGGTGGCATGATGAGCTCTGTGGACCCTCTCCCCAGCAAAATAATCATCAGTGGTGAAAATTATGAATAACAACAACAAACCATTTGAAACCACTGGAAATTCTTTTAAAGGCATACATACAGTAAATGGAGAAACATTTATTCAAGGAAATCACTAAATCTTGGTGAGAGCAGCAAGAGAGCATGGCATTTGAGCCACAACCCACTCCCTCCCCTAGCTCCCAGTCTAGAACTGTGGTATCTCCCCAGGAGGGACAGGCTGCTGGCGTTTCTCATCCTCCCCAGCTCTGTGCTGCAGAAACTCTAGTCCAGGTAAGAGCAGCAGAGAAGTCTGGTCTCCCTTCACCCAGACCCCACTCATAGAGCAGAAACTGTATCCCAGTTAGGGCAGGCTGACTAGTAGTCAGCCCGGCTCACTAGTAGAGCAGAGGTTCCACATCAGGAGAGGCAACCTGAAAAGACCAGAGACTACCGCCCCTGGCCAGCATTCCATTTGTAAAGCAGAGGCGTCACTCTGAGAGAAATGGGCCACTGTTCCTGTCCCCAGCTTTAGAGCATTGGTACAGAGGTTTGCCCAGGGGAAAGGCAGGCTATAAGAACAGAGACATCCATAGCTTTTCCCAAGGGAACTGAATTTATTTGGAACAGAGTGTATAGAAGTTCAGGCCTAATGGTACTCTCAAAAACAATAGAGATTTTGGTTGTAAACATTTAAGAGGAGGCTTATAGCTCCATAAGAGCAACAAACTAAATGGTGGACCAGCTAGAAGTTTAACAGAGAGAACCAAGGAAAGAGATAACTAAGAAGATCCCTCCTGGGGTTGGAATAAGCTTCAAAAATTGAAAAGGGGCCCAAATTTAATTGGATCAGAATGTGGAACAACTTATGTTCCAGGACATTGTTGAAAACAATAGAGTAATCTGCTGGTAATATAATAGAGTCTAACAGCTGTATCTAACAGCTGTATATGAAGCCCTGGTGGCTCAGTGGTTAAGAGCTACAGCAAGCTGTGGCTGCTAACCAAAAGGTCAGCAGTTCGAATCCACCAGCTGCTCTTTGGAAACGCTATGGGGCAGTTCTACTCTGTCCTGTAGGGTCACTATGAGTCGGAATTGACTTGATGGCAATGGGTTTGGTTTTTGGTTTTAACAGCTCTATATAATACCAACAGAGGCAGACAACAGAGAGATCAGAGAAAGAGACAGTCAAAGAGGTCCCTGCTAAAACCACTGTCATCCCAGGGTGACGGAGTGCATACCCAAGGCTGCACCCTCTGAAGAGTGATACCAGAGCCTGCACACTGCACAGTAAATAGAGTTCACTGAAATAGTCCAGCCAAGTCACTAAACAAATAATAAGAGAAAAAATAAGTCCCAGAGAGAGAGAGATCAGTATCCAGAGGTCCTACAATAACGGCTGAAAACTTCCCAGATTTGATAAAAACCATCTACACATCCAGGAAGTTTTAAAAACTCCAAATAGGATAAACAGAAAGAGAGCTACACCCAGAAACATCATAGTAAGAATGTTGAAAGACAAAGAGAAAATCTTGAAAGCAACACAAGAAAATTTGTCATGTACAAGGGAGCCCCAATAAGATTAACAGCTGATGTCTCATCAGAAAGTGCAAAGGTCAGAAGGCAGTGAGACAACATATTAAGAGGGCTAAAGAAAATAACTGTCAACCAGGAATCTTATACCAAGCAAAACTATCTTTCAAAAATGAAGCAAAATAAAGACGAAAAACTGAGAAGATTTGTTGCTAGCAGACTTGCCTTGGAAGAAATACTAAAAGAAGTTCTTCAGACTGAAAGTAGGTGGCCCCAGACAGTACTTCAAATCCGGCCACAACTAGACCGCCAGTAAAAGTAAATATAAGAAACAGTATAATTGCATATTTCTTCTCCTTTTTTCTCTTAAATGATCTAAAAATCAATTGTATAAAACAATATCTTTATAATTGTACTGATGGTTTATAGCATATAAAAATTTAATGTATTTGACAATAATAGCACAAAGGAAGTAGATGGGTGACAAAGTTATACTGAAGTAAGGAAATGACACCAGATGGTAAATTGAATCTAAAGGAACAAATGAGGAGAACCAGAAATGGTAAATGAGAAGGTTACTGTAACAAACTGTATAAATATGTAATTGCTCTCCTTTCTTTTCTCAGCTTCTTTAAAAGACATAATATTATATAAGTAATAATTATAAAAATGTATTGTTGATTTTGTAACATATATAAATATAATATGTATAACAATAATAGCACGGAAAAGGAGAAGCAAAAAGAGCTATATAGGAGTAATGTTCCTATATTTCACTGGAATTAAGTTAGTATAAACATGAAGTAGATCCTGATAAGTTAAGATCTGTATTATAAGATCTAGAAAACAACTTTAAAAGTAGTGAAAAAATAAATCAAGGAAATAAAACATTGCATTAGAGAATATTCACTTGTTGCAAAATAAAGCTGTAAAGGAGGAACAGAGGGAAGAAAAGACATGAGGCATATAGGAAACAAAAAGCAAAATAACAGATGTAAATCCAACTATATCAATAATAACAGTAAATATGAGTAGATTAAATAATCCAGTCAAAAGGCACTGATTGTCAGATGGTGTAAAAATACAAGATCCAAATACATGGTGTCTATAAAAAAACAAACCAAACCAAACCCATTGCCATCAAGTCAATTCTGACTCATAGCAACCCTGTAAGACAGAGTAGAACCACCCT